CACCACATAATAGTAAATATCTACTCCAATGCGTCCCATTTTGCTTTGGAAAGCCAAGAAACCTCAATTCATTCGCGACATCTTGAATAGCATCAAAACCCGAGATAGTCAAGTCGAGGCAATGAAGCTCCAAATGGTCGAGGAAACTTGACAATAGATAAAAAGGCGCACCAGGTCTTCCATATCTGACTTGCATATACCACAAATGACAGAAGTAATATCAAAACCTTTACTATCTAAATTAATACATTTACGTGAAGGAAGTTGATTCAAGCGAGCTCGCATCGAAATGATGAAAACATAAAATATTGCAATTCATCTAAGTTGAACTTGTTTTTGATGATATGACATATCACAATGACACGTGATAGGAAAAAATAGCACACCATGGGTTCAAATTTTAATTAATATTGTTATTTCTCATAGATATATTGAATATGATAAAGTGGTTTTTCGATTTCATTTAGTTATAGAATATTTATTTATTTATTTATTTACCACTTTAACGTTTTGTCTTAGTTTAATATATTTATTAATATTGTAATCTTTATAAAGTAATTATACGAACTACTTAATCAACCGACACTTAATACAATTATATCATAAAACATATGCTAGAGAACAAACTGCTACATCAGTTAGAAAAAGAGAAAATGATTTAAAATGACAATCAATAATAAAAAAATTATATTTAGGTCACTAAACATTTTATTGTATCTAATAAGGAAACTAAATTTTTATTTTAGTTTTAAAATATCAATGATTATGGTTTTTATCGATTAAAAATGAAAACGAACACTATCATTGTCATTGTCACATCTAACTAAAAACTTTCTATAATTAATTTTCTCAAACCACAACTGATAAACATTAGAAACGTCATATTGTTTTGTAACAATGTCATTTTAATCAGTAAAAATTTATATAATTGAAGTTTTGGTTTGAGAAAAATGTCTACAATATGATTTTAGTTAGACATGACAAAAACAATGATGATTTTTATTATCATTTTAACCAATAAAATTTATAATCGATGGTATTTTAAAACCAAAATCAAAAGTTTGTTTGTTTATTGGATACAATTAAAAGTTAAGTGACCTAAAGAGCAAATTTCGAGTTATTGGTTGTCATTTTAAGATCTATTAGAGATGGGAGAAATATTATGAAATATTATGTTTTGGAAAGAAGTGTGGGTTGGAACTTGGAAGTGTTCCTTTGATCGAGTTATTTCCTAGACTGGTTGTTTTGGATGTTGATTCTAAGTATGTTGTTACTGATAGGCATCAAGGTAACAATTGAAATTGATGTTGTAGATATGATCCAAGAGGAGGTGCTCAAACTTCTCAATTTCCGGCCATGGTAGAGTTATGAGCTAATATTCATTTTTGGGATTCTAAAGACTCTTAGGTGTGGAATATAGCTAATAATGTTGATTTTTCGGTGAAAGAGACGCACCAGATAATTGATAACATAGTGTTACCGCATGGGTTGGGTGAAACTAGATGGAATAGATTGGTGCCGATCAAAATGAATATTTTTAGTTGGAAAGCTATGCTAAATCGTATTCCTAGTAAAGATAATCTTATTTCTAGAGGTATCGATGTTCCTTGGTCTTTTTTTCCTATTTGCATGGATCAAGTGAAGAGTGTTGATCATCTTTTTCTGGAGTGTAAGGCTGCTAAAGCTTTGAATCAGAACATCAGGTGCGATCTTGATTTCTCTTCTTTAAATTATGTGGATGAGATATCTTTGGTCTTGGTGTCCGTTCATTTAAATATGAATAGGAAGACTATCTTGGAAGCTATTATCTACACGAAATGGTGGTCTATATGGAACTTCAAAAATATGTGTGCGTTTGGCCAAACGAGACCTAGACAAGATAGGTTGTTTGATGATATTGTTGCTTTTTTCTTTTAACTGGGTGGTGCACCGAATGCATAAATTCTCAATTAAGTAGAATTTATGGCTTCAAAACCCCCCATTTAAACATTATGATGTAATTGTTTTGTTTTGTCTTTAGCCTCTTGCTAAGGCCTTTTTTTTATAATACTAATTAAATATGATAACTTATCTTGTTGTTACCTTAAAAGTTTTTGATCGTGTACTAGTACTAATAATCTCTAAAAAATCATCCTCGTTAGTAACGTGTTGCCATCCCCCTCCGTGACACCTATTTTGGCAGTGTTTTACTATTTTTCATCACCCATTCCCTCTTGACATGGTTTGTCACGTCGCCTCGAACCCCACCATCTTGGATTGAATGGTGCCCTATACATACTACTGAACTTGGGAATTGAGTAAAAGATTTAAATCAACTGGCAACAATAGTCAAAATAGAACATACGTATATTGCATAAACCCTAAGGTGTAACACCACATTCGAATTAGAAATTCCATTGCACTCCATAACGCAAATACATATTAACCTCGCCTTCGATGTCGTTGATAACCACTAATAACCACCGCACGCCGCCACTAAAACGGTAATGGCTACAAAGTGATGGGGAGAAAACAAAACAAAGTGTTGACTAGCCATCCTCTTCGTCGATAATTATTTATAATTTAATTCGAATTAAAATATAACTAAAATAGTACGTAAGGTGTTTTCATGATTATTCAAAATGAAAAGCAAATTATTATTTATTAGATTTCCAAAATCTCATTTCTATGTCTAAGTTTAATAAAAGGAAACAAGACTCGCCAATATTTTCAAATGCTTGTAGAGAAGTGTTCGATTTACCAAAGTGTTCAATTATTAATCTGTTTAAAACTTTCGAAATAATTTTTTTAGTATATATCATTTAACGACTAGTGAATGCAACAAATTCTAAAAGTATTATCGTTATGATTACCCAATTATACATCTTGTCCTATTTTATTTTATAAAGTTGAGTCAACTTGTATAAATAATTTGTTTGTTGGAAATAACGTGTCCATTTCTTTGGGGAGAAAAAGGTCCATCTTTCGTCACTACGGTTGACCAATAAAACAGTATAAAATATTATTTTTGTCTCAAATTAAATTCCATTTTATTTATTTTTTATGTATATTGGATTAATATGAATTATGAAGAAAATTGTTGAACTTTAGAAATTATAGAATCCTAATAAGTGACATTAGATTCTTTTCATTTATTACATCTATCTTTACGTCACTCATTTTCAAAATTACTTTTATTTTGTTAATATCTTATTTATTCAATGAAATATATCTTTAAAATATGTTTAAATTTTATACATTTTTTTTAGAACGCATAACCGGCAAGATTTTGAAAAAATGACAAGAAAATTTACAAAATATTAAAAGAATTACAACACCAACTAACCCAATTACACTTACCAAATTTGCATATATATTGTCCACCCTTAAAACCAAAGTAATTACAATGTCTGCAATTTTTGTAGGGCTTGAAGAAACTTAATTAAACGCCTTGCGTTTTCTTTGTACAAAAAATGTTTAAATTTAGTACAAACCAAGAAATTGTCCATGATTTTATTCGTTACATAATTAATGAACTAGACCTTTATATATATTCTTAATATATTAGGTAATAAAATAAGTAATTATAGTGAGCTATATTACTTAATCAAACACCATTTACCTAAATAATTCTATAGGGATGCAACAAATGGACGCAGTTGTTGACATATCCATCCCTAATATTAAAGAATTTTATCAATCTAGAACATTTTGAATTTCTGCTTCGAAAACTATAATAAACTATTACTCCATGATATCTAAATATCTAAATAAAATTGTCAACACTATCCTTCTAACAAACCCATTTGTTGTAAGCATCCAAGAAACTAAACTTTCCATTAATCTTTATTTATTAACATGAAATACATATATATTTGAAATTGAAAAAAAAAATAGAATCTTAATAAAGTAATAATGGTTTAAACAAAATGTGATTAATATCAAAAGAAAATTTACATGGTCTTAGCTTTTTATTTTTTAAAACAAACAACTTTAGATATTGTTTGATAGTTGTTGATTGGGTCAAATCTGATTGAGTCAATGTTTAATTGAGTAAGAATCTTGTCCGAGTAAAAGACATTTCAGAGGAGTCAAAGACATTTCAGAGGAGTCAAAGACCGAATCAGAAACTTCTAAATATTGTATCAAACAATTTGAATCGGACCAAGACAGACTCAAACCACTTATAAGACTCAGTAGGAAGCATATCAAACAAACTTTTATATTAGGTACAATATCCTAAAAAGTTACCGTTAATTAAAAGGTACTTAGGACTTTATTGGTTGTTTTTCACCTAATGTCTTGTAAAATAAAATAAATATTTGGATTAAGGTGACTCATATGTAAAATATTGAAATATTTGACTTATAATGAAAAGTCAAACCGCGTGTAGCAGGTAATGTATGAAGGTTTTGAGGTCATGTAATTGACTCTTTTGGATTCGTCTTCTAAGCCAATAACCATCGAAACAAATAAATCGTTATCTATGTCATATATTAATTAATTTTTGTATACTATAAGGTTATGATATCATACTTTTTTTTTTAAAGATAGATACTTTTTATGTTGTGACATAAATCGATGACAAGTTTTTAAATCATTAAAGTCAACAACAAAAGCCAACATCATCTTCAAACACATCAAATAATTTCATGCTTTCCAAGTTTCGTGCAATAGTTTCAAACCTCGATGCTTGACACATGTTTAATTTATGAATTCCAACGGAATCGGAATTCAAGTCCACATTATAAAAACATTTTTGTTATCACCTTCAAATTCAAACCCCATATTTGTTAAATATTATCATTGTTAGCGAACATGGAACAAATTTGATTTCACTCTTCTTTTACTTATTAAAAGACCAAAATACGCTTACTATATATATCAAAAAGCAATTAAAAATGAAATTTCAATTATATATTATATATATTTATAATAAAAAAAGTTGATTTCCAAAACAATTTTACGAACCAAACAACCTCGAAAACTACTTTGAATTAAACCAACCAACAAATTAAAAAAATCGGATTATCAAATATGATCTAATGATCATTTCAAAGTAAAGCTCAAAACCCCAACTTCTAGTAGAAAAACATATTATCACACGCTAAAAAAAGGACAACACTTTCATAACGTTTTCTTATACACAATAATAGTTCTTCCTCATGAGCTCGACCTGCAATTGGAAATCAACATGTTTAACACTGCAAAAAAAGTTATTCTTCCAGCAACCTCTGAGCTAGCCCACATTGTCCAAGATTACAGTGACCCATTAGCTAGCTGACATAAGAAGTGAAGGAAACTTACTTTTGTCTCCATTTTGAACCCATCAGCACGAATAAAAGAAGTGAAGAAGGGTTGATTGATTTTATGGATGAAAGATGGATATGATTTATTTGACATTCATTGATGCAGCCATTGTTCTCAACTTTTGAGCAATTTCTAAAAAAGATGGTCTTTCGTGTGGATCAGCAGACCAACATCTTTCCATTAATGACTTCCATTCGGGATCACACCATGTTGGTATTGTTGGACGTAATGTTCCATTCACAATTCCTCCTATCACATCAATTACCAAACTTTTCAAACTTTTTTTCTTATTAAACAAATCAATCAAAGAACATACCAATAATGGAAGCACAATGCATATTTGTATAAGGTTCATCTCCAGTGAGTAGTTCCCACATGACAATCCCAAATGAATAAACATCAATCTACATTTAAAAAAGGCAATGTTACAATATAAAGAAAGGAATAGTCATGGAGGGTATTATCGTAAATTTATAATATACCTTTTCTGTTACCATTTGACTTTTTCCACTAAGAAGCTCAGGTGCCATCCAAGGCAAAGTTCCACGAACACCTCCAGACACCATTGTTTGTTGTTTTACCTTCGATAGGCCAAGATCTCCAATCTAAAATAAATAAAATGCAAAATGACTGATATGCCCCTTAACCGATGTCCCAAATTTAATACATACCTTGCAAATTGGTCTATGTGGATCTCTCATATTTACTAGCAAATTTTCACACTTTAGGTCGAAGTGTACAATATTCTTTCCATGCAAATATTCCATTCCAAAAGCAGCATCCATGGCTATGATAAGTCTTTTACGCCGATCTATCGTTCTGTATATAAAATAGTTTTTTACACCATTCAAAATAAATAAATAAATAAAATATTAGATGAAAATGATAATGACACCTGTCCTTTTTCTTTAAAAACTGCTTTAAAGATCCGTTGATCATGTACTCTGTTACAGTTGCCAAAGACCCATCTGGCCCATCACGAACTATACCATAAAAGGAGACGACATTTGGGTGGTGCAATGAACTTAACATTGAAGCCTCCTTCCAAAAATCAGCAATCTGCAATAAAAAATAAAAGGCCAAATGACCAATATGCCCATGAAAGAAAGAGGAAAAGAATGTATATGCATACCATACGTTCCCTTTCTGATGGTTTTCCAGCAAAGCAACTGGCTTTAATTCTCTTAATTGCCACATCAGAACCCTTCCACTTTCCATGATAAACAGCTCCATATGTACCTGATCCTAGCTGGCGTATCTCCTCCAAATCATCGTTCTTTATGGTCTAAAATGTAAAATATTAAATGTAATGAAACTCATTTCCCCACATTCTTAAAAACCGAAGTTGATGGGTAAATAAGTAAACAAACCTGCAATCCTCTAGCAATGGCTTCCTCCTCAGCTTTTGTTGGTTCAATCTTTGAAATGCTTTCAGTCCCAGTATCAGAGTCCAACTCCAAATCCTCAGGTGCATCCTACAAAATAACAAGGATTTGAGAATAACTCGTGTTGAGGGGTAAATAAGTAAATTTACTCACCACAACATCTAATTCTTGAGTGGGTTCCTCTTTCACCTCAGCAACTTTCTCAGGGACAGAATCAACAACTTCTTCAACTTCACCTTTGACCTCCTCAGCACATTCTAAAGCAGCTTTTTTCACAGATTCAAAAAATTGAGGAACAAAATTCAAGTCTTCACCTTTAGCTTCCCCTTTTTCAGGAGCATTGACTCCAGGGGAATTTGTTATTACTTGCTCTGACTCCTTCAAACTTTCAGAACCATCTTTTCCATCTATCTTTATCAATGGTTCAGTGTTGTCATTGGTGTTTTGTGTTGTTTTTCTATTCATGGTGTTCAAAGAAAGTGATTTATGGTCAACGAAACTTGGTGATTGGTCAAACCCCAAAACCGAATCATTAGATTGGACAGGGATAACAGGTTCAGGAGCCATGTTATGATCCTCAGGATTGTAAGAATTTGGCATAAGTTTCAAAGGGCGTACAGGGTAATAATCAGATACATCACTCTCATTGTAACGTGTCAGTTTATGAGTGGGGTCCACCAAAGGATTCGGATGCTCCACCTCAATTCGAAGCCTAGGAATACCATTTTCTTGTTGTTGTGGTGAAATTGGTGTTTCATTTGATGGAGACCCATGCATTGGGCTTTGAACATCTCTCCAATAAGAATTTTGTACGTGTCCATTATTAGATGATGAATGTTGAAGATTCTCAGGTCCATAAGCATATGGAAAGTTTCCATATAGAGTAATTTGATCATGAAACATTTCATTACCAAATTCATGTCTATGACGAATGTAATGTGTTCTATCATCACGTGGGACATTATAAGGTGATGGAATTGGATGACTATCTGGATACCCTGTGGGCCCATTGTAGAAAGTTCTAGGTTCATTTTGTTCTCTAATGTAATACGGATGGGGGAATTGGTGGAATCCGTTTCCGGTGTTGGGTAATTCCGGAGTTTGGTTTCTTGAAAATGGAGGGGTACATTGGTCAAAAACATTGTTTCCTTCAAACATGTTGGTGCTTGGGATTGGTAATTGGGATTGGTGATCAATTGGGGAAAGATGATTAACATGATGTTGTCTGTAGTAATCTTCTGCTGCTGGTTCACCATAAGGACTATGGTAATAAGAACATGAAGGAGAAGTTGGAAAGTCATTTCCAGAGTGTCTAGGGGAGTAGTATGCAGGGCTTAGTGGCTGTTGGTGTTGCAATGGACCCATATGAGGGATTGTAAGGTGATGCAAGTTAATTGGTGGCATATGTGTGTCATAGTTTCTTGGATTATGAATACCACCATCTAAATTTAACGGATTAAAGGAATATTCTGTTAACTGAGAGTCATCCATGGGAGACATTCCTTGAAACTCACTCATATGTTGTTTTCCATACTCAGGGGAGTCATGAAGACTGTTCAAAGCATCTACATATCTCCTTTCACTATCTCTCCCATCAGTATCTAAAAAGTGTAAAGGATCATCAAGTTCAGAATTTGAAAACAAGAATACCCTAAGCCTAGTAAATCCATCCCCTGAACCTAACTTGTCGTATTCCTCCATCATATTTGTCACATCATCATCATTCACTACTGAAACCAGAGCATCAAGATCTTCATCGGGCTGTTTATATTTCAAAACAGTCGCCCCTTCAAACAAATCTTTCATCCTTGACATTAGTTCTTCGAATGTAATGTCTCTGGGAACACTCAAAATCCGTGTTTCACCACCAACGTACCTAAGTTTTCCGTCTTGTGGGCGTGGTAGTATGCCACCATTAAAGCTACATAAGATCTTCACGCGAGGAGTATCGTCGTTCCAGTTCCGGACTGAACCCGGAGAGGCTGTTAATGGAGTAGGGTTGTCCATTTGGACTTCTGTTTCCTCAATGCACTAATGAGTCCTTCGAAACCCTAATGGTTCCATCGCACATTACTCCATACCATTCACGAAACACAATCGCCTCCGATATTTCGTTTCACGCTCTTGACTCTCCTGACAAACACAACATTTAGAATTTAATAAAATGTTTATTCAATCTCGGAAGTAATTAAACCGAATAAACAAGAACGCAACGTACGATCCAATTCAATCCCTAATTTTTACCAAGATTAACCATGCGAATCCAACATCGAAAATTAACAACAAGAAGGAATCAAAATGAAGTACCTGTAATTAGCGGATATAAGAAATCGACGATCACAAAATTCGAAATTTTGTCCCCAGCTACCGAAATCGTTAAGAAAACAAAATTTGCAGCCGAATTTTGTGCCTTTAATGCGGAGTAATATGCATTTACGAAAATCTCAAAGATAATGATAACGATGAAAAACGAGAATACGGTTAGAGAGAGAAACAGAGAGAGAGGAGGGAGAGGGTGAAATCAAAATTAATGGTGATTGGAGAGGAAGAGGAGGAGCGAAAACGCCATTTTTGTTTCCGTGATGATGATTCTGTGGGGTGTCAGCCAGGATCACACGTGGCGATATTGCGTCCCTCCTCGGGTGTTGTTATTCACACCCAAAACCATTTTTACCAATGATTTAATTATTTTTACACTTATAGTCCCTCGTGATATATATCGTTTTCAATTTTAATCTTTCATATTTTAAAATCTAAATAATTCATTATACGTTAATAAGTTTTATATATATATATATATATATATATATATATATATATGTATATACTAGTAAATTCCTATAGGTCGTGCTTAGCCCGGCTCGCGGTTCATCTAAATATGCAAAAAACAACAACGTACTTTCATTCATTTCTAATACATCATTGTACTTTCAGAAATGCTATCAGGACATGGTACTTTTAAAAGAAAGAGATTTCACCCTTAAAGAGGTTTCATAACACAAATGGAAGTAGTTTACAAGTTGTATCAAGAAGAGGGGCAAGTCATGAATCGGCATGCAATCTCAATGGTGCCTCTAATCCTCTTCAATTCCTCTACAGCTGTAACATGAGTCAGTATAAGATTATTATTTAAATAATATATATTTAAAATAATTTTAGTGATATGTATTGAAAATAAAAGTAAAAACATTAAGTTGTCTATTAATTCAAAGTAAATACAAAAAATAGAAAGTAAAAATGTTGATCTAACCTGACTTATTTAATCACACCAAATTTTAAAGCTAATCGCAAAAAAGAACCCGCTTTCACTATCCTATCAGTTTATGCACCAATGAACCCTATTTTATAGGGGTGAGCAAACCCGAACCAAGAAACCAACAAAAACCGACGAAACCGAAACCGAAAAAACCGAAACCGAATCAAAACCGACGGTGTGGGTTTTAAATTTGTAAAAACCGACTTTTCGGGTTCGGTTTCGGTTTTACATCCAGAAACCGACCCAACAACCCGAGAAACCGACCCCTCTTTAAAAACCGAGAAACCGACCCAGTAAACCCGCAAACCCGATGCTTTTTACTGATTATATATATATATATATATATATATATATATATATATATATATATATATATATATATATATATATATATATATATTAAAAAAATAAAAATAAATAAAAGAAGCCTAGGTAATTTACTCCCGTTTTCGTTTTGCCCTACTTGGTACTCGGCTACTCGCAGTCTCGCATTCCCCATCGGCGCATCCCACTGAAGACGAGTAGACGACTGAAGAGTGAAGTGAAGGTCCTCCGTCCTCCGGCGCTCAGCCGCTCGCACACATCCGAGCCTCCGACGCCACCAACGAGACCTGTAACGCAGTAACGGAACCCCAAACCTCTGGCGCCACCAACGAGACCTGCAACGCCTCTGAATCGTCAAATACGGTTCGTTCCTCACTTAGTTTTGTGTAATGTGCCTCGTTTACAACTGATTTCTGATTTCAATGTTGTGTTTATTTTCTGATTTCCCTTGCTGTGTTTATGTTCTGATTTCTGAATGTTGTGTTCATGTAGAATGTGTCAATGTGTCGCTGATTTCGTTTTTTTTTTTTTCTGATTTCTGTGTGTTTATGTTCTGAATGAGTGAATGTTGTGTTCGTGTAGAATGTGTCTGATTTCTATTTCTTTTTTGTCAATTTGCCTCTGATTTCGTTTTTTTTTTTTCTGATTTGGGTTCGTGACCTCGTTCCAAGCATTTAAATATTGCTGTGAACCTGATTTGGGTTCGTGACCTCTGATTTCGTTCCTCACTTAGTTTTGTGTAATGTGCCTATTTTGTGTCAATTTGCTTAAATATTGCTGTTGAATGTTGATAAATCTTGATGTGAAATATTGCTTAAATCTTGCAGTGAAATATTGCTTAAATCTTGCCGTGAAATGTTGATAAATATTGCTGTCAAATGTTGATAAATCTTGCTGTGAAATGTTGATAAATATTGCTTAAATCTTGCTGAATTGAAGCTTCTTATTTCCTAAAATCTTTTGGTTTACATATGGATTGTTGATTGTTTTTTTTCTATGTAGATGGAAAAGTCTCAACTAGATGCACAAACTGTTGATGTCGATGCTCCACAAACTGTTGATGTTGATCTTGATGTTGATGAAGAAGTTGCAGATAATAAGGGTGGTGGTCATAGAGTATCGTGGGTATGACAACATTTTGATAGAGTATGGTGGTCATATATGTTTATAATTAATTAATTACATACTATTGTTTTGTACTTTTGTGTTTGTAGAGGAATTGGGGTGTGGTCAAGGGAGTTGCATGGATGAGGATTTTACTTGAATTTTAAAGGTTTATAACTCAATTATTATAATTTTATACTTTTACACAAGTTTATTACTCAATAATCATTGATCAATACTAATTTTTTTTGGTTTGTAGATGATTGGGAATTGGTGAAGAGATTTACATGGATGTGGATTGAAGATTTGTGTTTGCGTGTTTTGGACTTTTGGTTGTAATCGACTATTTGACTATTCAAGACTTTATGTTTTAGTTTGATTGTGTGTTTGGTTGTAATCGTCTAATCGACAATTTCAGACTTTGTGTTTTAGTTTGATTGTGTGTTTGGTTGTAATAGACAATTTGGTTGTAAAACTCATGTTTTTTGAAGTATTTAACTTCAATTAGGTGTTTTTTGAATTATTTAACTAATTGTTCCATTTCTGGAAAATGGGTTCAAACCCAAAACCCATGGGTTTAAACCCAGAAACCGTAAGTGTATGGGTTGAACCCAAGAAACCGCCCAAACCGATATCAGAAACCGAGAAACTGAACCGACCAGAAACCGATCCTATTGGGTTCTGAAAACCAGAAACCGATCATTTACGGGTTGGGTTGGGTTGGGGTCCAAAACCGACCCATGCACAACCCTACTATTTTACATTCTATATCTTAGATAAAATATTACAAAAAAAATGTAAAACATATTAAATAAAATGGTAAAAGATAACAAGACTGTTATATCCATGTAAATCCTAACTGATGGTAAAACAAATGAAAGAATAAGATCATAAAAGATTTGTTATGTGTTTAACCCAAATCGAACTGTCATTAAAAAAAACTTGTAGATAATAAAGTTTAAACTTTAAACAGATTGCTAGGTTCAAAAAGGTAGAAAAACCTCTAAAACATAGATAATTGCACAAAGTTAAAAACGTATTTAGTAGATTCCCCAGAAGACGAAGTTGCAATGATGTCTTCCTACTTGGTTCAATTGCATCTAGACTACAAAAAGGCATAGAAACATGCCCAATTAATGACCTGGAGAAATAATCTCGGTAATGTACAAAAGAAGCTTTGACATACTCCATTAGAATGCCACATTAGATCTATAAAAAAGAAAGGATTTATGTTGGTTTGTTAAAGAATGACGGATACGCTCTATTAACACATCCTGTTTGCTATCTGATACTTTCTCATCATCAGAATCATCATTCCAATGTTCTCGACTGAGATAGTCTGTCTGAGAAAATATTTTAGATTGAAGATCACCATTTGGGCTCAATCCATAGGAATCATCATCCTTTTCAAGAAACTTGTTAACATCTACTTGTGAACTGCCATTTTCGGCAGCCTATATCATTGATTGTGGTTCCTTTTGTTTTAGCTGGAATCAGAACCTTTGTAGAGGACTTGGGAGTTAGAATTGTTGGTATCATATCACTTGTCAGCAATAGCTTTATGCTCAACTACATAACCACAAAGAGGGACAAATACATCATGAAATGGATATAAGGGAGTTCACAGCTCATGAATAGAATGAAAAGAAAAAAAGTTAATAGAAAAGGATAAAACCCTTCTATGGTAAGATTGTCTTCTTTTTGAACTTTTGTTGCACTTTCTTTGAAGACTTCATATGTGACCTGATCAATACACAGAAAAATGAAGGCAAATGTTAACTTTGAGGGTAAAGAAACTAAACCACAAATAGTCGCATTCTAATGTAACATATATAACGATTATTTGGTTGGATGAAACATAGTTTGAATACACCTCACAAACAACGCTCTTAACGCACACGGGAATTGCAATCTTCAATGTTCAATTGCCCTCATTTCAAGAAAGTAGGGAGATTTTGTGGTTTTAGATCTCCATGGACAATTCCATCCATGAACCGGAACGAAAAATGGAAGTTTCAAATATACAGACAAATTGAAATCAAAATTTAATTAGATAAAAAGATTACTTTATTTTTTTTTTGAAAACTAATTTCGCATAAACTATCTATTAAACAAAAAATTCATGAATGGTTCTTTGACTGAAACCAAGATGACTGGGATATTCAATCTAGCTTATTAATAAAATCAAGAAATAAATCAACATCTAAAAATAAACAAACCAAAATCACGACTTCTTATGGGGTCGTTTGATTTGCGTTTCTGAGGAATCACAACCTTTTCACGGAGTTAAGAAACATCCTGAAAGAAAAATATGAAAACCAATTAGATGTCAAAGTAACAACAAATTGTTGAAATACGTATTGCCCTGTTGGCTGAACTATGTATGGGTTTGCTCCCGTGTACTGTTGTGCGGACGGGTTGAATGGTTGAGCAGTCGCCATGAAAGGGGTGAATTCTGGTGCTACTGAGAAATGGACGCCAGGTTTGTAGGAGCTGGATCCCTGGTTGATCGAGGTCTGCACGCCTGTGACTTGCGGCTGAGACACTTCTGGGATTGGACCTTGAGCCTTTTGTACGAACGGGTTGAACACCGGTGGTTGCTGTATGGACAGCGGCACGTGGGGCATGCCTTCTATGGTGGCGTGTGAGTAGATCATCGATGAATATTGTGATTGCGGTTGAATATTGTGAGGGATCCAAGTTCCGGTGCCCGAACTGTGTGGAAACGATTGTTGCTGAGAAACAAGTATCTCTATTTGTTGTGTTGCGACAATTTGTGGAGTTGTGGTTACGATTGCTGCTTGCTGAAATGGGTTAACTGTTGGACGTCATAGACTGGCTATGTAGGTTGCCGCCGTTTCAGCTGCGGAGCTGGATGGTGTCTGTGAGACTGACGTACGATTTGAAGCGTGTTTTTCCTGGATGGAAACTTGCCCTCCGTCTTACGGCTGCATTGGACGCACCAGACTTTTTTTCTGCTGCCCGCGACGTCGCCGGAATTTCGCCTGCCATCTTTGCTCTTTGGTTTTGCTTGGTCTATATATATATATATATATATATATATATATATATATATATATATATATATATATATATATATATATATATCGACGAGTCTAGAATGTAAAAATACGTGGTTCGCTATTTAATTAAAATCGATAGAAAGAAAATAAAAAAATACTAGTTGCGGTTCCGGTACGGATAGTATAAGCTAAAATAAATTTAAAGTTTTTACAATAATACCCGACGAGGTCTTATATATTGATATATTTTAACAATTGTATCATTAATAATACTTTCTCAAATACCTTTTTCAATATATGCCACAAAATTATTACTTAAAATTTGATATTTTTTTTTTGTTGCGTATATAAATCTTTACCAATTGAATTGTTAAAAATCCTTTTTGCAAGTACTTTTATAATTTCATCTTTTAGATTTACACGATAAAATTTTTTATTTGGTTGTTTTGCTGGATTAATAGGTAGTGAACTGAAATCAACTATTATATTATATGATTATATTACTTATTATCTTTTATTATTTTTTCATCTATTTTCTAAAAAATAAAACCCGACAAAGACATTTTTATATTGATTTATGAAACAAACGACAATAAACAAATCACGGTCAAAGACATTCTTGTTTATGTTTCAATACAAAAAACTAAAAATAAATAAATAAAGCTGATTTCAAAAAAAATGAAGAACTCTAGTATCAATTGCAAAGATAATCCAAATATCAAATTATGTCAAAAAAAAAAGTATCACAAAAGTATCAAATAAATCCAAAGTAATAAACCGCCGACGATTGTTTTTTTTTTTTTTTTTTTATGTAATTCTTTTTCATTTTCCTTTTATTCTTATCTAATTTTAAATTCAGTAGGTCAAATAAATTCAATATTTGGGCTAAAGAATAAATGAAATATAAAACGTGTGGGCTTTCAATTCTTAGGCAAGTAAGTGCACCCTCTACCGGACACTGCGGTTGTTGATTTGGCGCAACAGTATGTGGCGAACACAACTCTAACCCCCCTTTATCGCAGTCGAGCCGCTTACCGCACACCAAGCT